CAGTAGAGACTGCAGGGATGCCAAACCCCCAAAAGTACTAAGGCACACATGAGAATTTGGTACTCGGTTCCTACCAAATTTGGGGGGAGTTTGAAAGCCACCAGCTTTTTTTTTCTTTGAACATCTTTCTGAAAAGATTTTTCAGCTAAATTCAAGGGCTTAAAATCCCTCAATCCTCAATTTGTAATAATTGTAAGAGATTGCATATAATGAATTTAAAAGTTATCATGAAAATTACTTCACCACATCACCAGAAATAGACCTCTGCTGGAGTTGTAAGCTTAATTATAAGCCAAATGACCCAGACCTGTCTATCGGAGAAGCATAGCCAATAGGAAAAGAGAAACACAGCTCATTTACACACATGTAGATGAAACTATGATATATTATATCAACTAAAAGCATGTATAAATTAACATATTTACAGTTTCTGTTTAAAAAGGGGAATATCACATCAGCATTTAATACGCTAAAAATATTTCCAACATGCAGTCTCAACTTAGTCAGGCCAATATTAAAAATCTAGATTCTTTTTTAATGCACTGTAATCATGTATTTGCCACCAGACTATTACTTAGGATCCTTTTCAATCAGCAATGAATAGATAGGTATCTTTACACATCTTCAATAAGGGCCTAGTGTGTATGCTTCTCAGTACATATATCAACACTAGAAGATTTAAAACACATTAAATAGGCGGGCTGTGGTCACAACAACATTTTGGGTAAATGATGCATTATCATGACCTTGATGAAAGTGGAATTGATTTGAATAAGCAGAAAAGAAAACCTAATTCAAAAAAAAAAAAAGTTAAATAGAGTGTTGGATTCACATCAGGTATTAAACATCATCCTAAGGTTGCTCTGTTTTTAAAACTAACTACTGTTCTTAATCAGGTTATGTCTATTATGATAACTCATGATTGGAAGTTAGTCACAGGAGACAGGTTCACTTTCTACACCATTTGGTGTCTGCTTTACTTATATCCTATATCATAAAAGGTCAGATACTGCTTGATATTCATACACCCCGCACAGCACAAGAAAAGTGCAATAACCCCTCTTCCCTTGCTAAACTCTGGCAATTTACAGGCTAATTGTCTGGGGTAGAATTCGACACACATTAAGTCTTTTTATACCAGAACAAGCCTACACCCCAACAAATATTAAGATTCTGAAAGCACTCAGATAAGGACAAAAAATGTAAGAAAAAATAATCAACTCTACATGCCATCAACTATGCCATCAATAATACAAAATATTTTACACCACTTGCACCTGAGTTGAAGAGTGGAAAGGAGAGGGATACTCTGTCAGTGCAAGAGAATGATTCATGTGACCACTTTGTCTTAATTACTCAGAACAAGCAGTTTGTTGATGTTTAGTAAAGAACAAAGATATCAGCGTCCCTTGACAGAAAAATAAATAGCCATCACGGTGGTGAAGATGATGATGACTGCCAGAACAACGATCAAAATCCGGTTTTGGATGATCCTGAGAAAAAGCAGAAGAGACAGAAAAAAAAAGTAAATAAAACAAAATAGCAGAATATATATGAAAATCGCAAGAAGAAGGACACAGATAAATATCTTGGAGAAGAGACATATGCCCACAAATTTAGGATTCCCTATATCATTCTGTGTATCTTGATTGTTTTTTACTTTTTTCAATTTCCAGCACTTCCAAACATTTCTTTATGTAGCTATTAAATCTAACTTCTGCATTCAGGAAAGAATTAGTCTTTTCTTAATTATGCATGCACTACATACATATTAGAATAACTGAAATACGTCATGTTATAATTTATGAATCTTCTAAGAACAAATGAAATATCTAGTCCTCAGCCAATGCAATTCAAGCAGGGTGGTCTGTAATAGTAAACACCATTGTATTTTTTAAAGCCATTCTGAAATCTTCATAACTTTTTAATCTGCACAGAAACAATTTATTAATTTTCAAGGGATTTTACTATTAAGGTACAAGATTTCAAGGAAACACATGTCAATGAGATACTTACTTGTACTAAAATACCAAGGGAAAAGTATAAAAGATAGTTTTGAAGAAAAGGATGATATAAAGAAGCAAGTGTCAAACTGTGAAGCTTATGTTGTAAAAGCATCTCCTGTCTCTGTAGCATACCTTTACTTATGGTAATAGGCAAATGTTACATTCTCTATGTAGCAGAAAAAAAAATGGAAATTAGTAATAACAAAAAGATTCCAGAAGTAGAAAGTCCTAATATTGTTCAATCATTTGTTGGGAGAAATCCCTGCTTCTGAAATCAGACACCACATTGCTTCAAATTTTGTCAGAAATTAACAGGTCAATTAAAATTAATAAATCAACAAACAGTAGACTTTGAGGCATTATACAGGCGGATTCTGGACTGCAAGAATTCAGTGTTTGTTATTCCATTCTCACAGAGGAAGAATATTTTCATAGGCTCTTCATGAAACAGGAACTTTTGCAAAACACATTTGTACATGAAGCATATAGTCATAAATAGAGAGGTATAGCAAAAAAATCCCAACAACTAACTGCATCAAAAGCACCCTAATTTATACTTTTTTTTTTTTTTTATTGCTTCTGCAAAACAAAACAAAACAAAGCAAAGCCTTCACCAACCAAACAATGGTAAGAAGAGGTAAAACTGTGTTTTGTGAAATATCAAACCAAGTACAAGGCTCCTACTTGAAGACAGGGAATGTAATGTGTTAAAATGAACATATTTCACACAGTGAAAGAGAGAAGAAACTCAAGAGAGCCGAGGGGAGTTTTCCTTGGTAAATGTTTTTCATTTGGATGCGGGTGGATATACATATAAATTGTATTGGAAAGTGTAAAGAAAAATGCAGTTTTAACCAACTCCAGCTCTCTCCTTGCTTACCCCCCACCTAAAGAAAAAGCAGTAAATGGATGGATGAAAACTGTCACATCAGACAGACACCCTCCCCTGTGACACTCTAAAAGGACTAGCTCTCTATCCTCCTGACAGGTTACAAAATGATCACATTTGCTGACACGTCTTCCGCAAAACTGCTTTAGTGTTTGTGTCCACTTTCCTAGCAGGAGATGAATGGGCTGCTTTGTCCTCATTTATCACTTAAAGCTGAACTAAGATCTGTCTCGTTTATTTTTCCCTTCCTCACTAGAAAGGCTCCACCACAGCATTAATTCTTTTGCGATGACAGCTAATTCAAACTTAACAGGCAATATTTACTCTGCCAAAGGATGAGGAGGAGGGAGGGATGTTTCTCGCTCTTTTTTTTTTTTTTCTTCCCCTAAAAAAAAGCAGTGTAGCAGGCTAACAAAATAAAGCTAATTAAGGGCTTTTGGTTGTTGTTGGTTTGCACTTCAATTTAACACCTGAACTTACAAGCTTCTCTTTTGTGGTGGGGTGTGACATTCTCTGCCAAACACCTGATAACAAACGATTTGCCCAGGCAAATGCATGAAAACCAGAATATATATTTACTCACTCTCATCACTCCTGAAAAGACACTCAGCAAAATTGAAACTCAGCAGTGAAACAGATTAAAAGCATGAAAACTCTTAAAACATTCAGCCTTAAGTAATACACAGTGCAGCTGGCTTGACAACCATTTTATTTGTGGGATGTGGGCCCCAAGGCATCCATAATGCTAATTTACAAAGGATTAACTGTGAGTGAAACTTGCTTAATCTAACACATAGTTAGGCAAAGGCATACATAACATACTGAGTGTTTAAATCAACTCCTCCTATCTCTGGCCCACTGAAAAAGCATTTCATTGTCTGAGACTTAAAATTAAAGAAAAAAAAAAAAGCATCAAATCCTCCAAATGCTTTATTTTTAATACTCTGGCAGTACACACCCAATTGCAAGATTATTTAATCAGTGTCCACGTCTCTAAAATCCTTGTCAAGAGAACATGGAGTGAGGCATGCTGCCACCTGTATCTGCTAATTGAAGGTTCACTTACGGTGTGAATCTAGGAAATACATATCAAAGTTCAATTTCTAGGAATCTGAATTAGTCTGCGCAGTGCAGCAAAAGAATATCATATTAAAGGGAACAAATTAATCATGAAATAGGATGGATGTTATCAACAGACTCCTACACTGATGTATTATATACTTTTAATATTCAAGCCCACAGTTAAAGATTAATTTTATATCTTTAAAAAAGGAATAACATTGAGTTTTACTGTTTTACATTAAAGTGAGCAAGTAAAATTAAACTAACTGCAAACTGCCAGAAGGATGGGTCTAGGAGAAGAACAACAGAGCCGTTTGGTAGCAGCAGGACAGTCTTGAGGAGGGCTTAGCAAGCGGTGTGAGCCTGGGAGCTGCTGCTCAGACAGCGAACACAGATTCTGGGTGTCAGCACATTTCAGATCTCAAAGTCAACAGGCAAGGGCGACCCTTCAGAGTAAAGAAAAAATCAAGAGGAAAGGGGGTTTTGAGAGATCCAAGACAGTCAAGCCAGCTCACAGTGGTAGAACAATGGTTGGCATTGGCAGGACCCATCTGTAGGGAAGCCTATAGTACTGTCACAGCCAGACACTGCCAGTGGGTATTGCTCTAGGCAAAGCATCAAGGAATTTAAGTGGGGGAGGGAGTGATAATACCAAAGGAGAAGAAAATGGGGCCTAACATTCGCTACAAAAAAATCCCAAAGGCTAACATGCTCGCAAGAAGAAGATGACAGTCTTTTATCTCTATTACACCTTAAATTCAACGAAATCTGGTGAATTAGGAAGCCCAGATTCTTCTTTGAAAATGCATAGCATGTTTACAGGGTAAATAATTTAAGAAAGAATATATACTTGAAAGAAGACACCCATTGAAACATCCATGGCTAAAATGCCTGAAGGCAAAAACTTGTGCATTTGCATGCTGCATTTTATTAAGTTAGCACACTGTAGCTTTAAAAGAATGCATGGCCAAATTAAGAGGAATGTGTGACTGAAACATCAAGGATTCCTCAAGTTTACATTATGAATCATAGTGCTGTTGATATGAGATGAATTAACCATTTAGTTGATGCAGCTTAGGTACTGAATTCACACCAAGTTCTGCTGGAGCCAGGCGTGCTGGAGCTCGTTAACAGCCAATGTCTACTGTTCCTTTCATATTCAGAACTCTAGGAGCACAAGGGCTCATTCTATTTTGAGTCAGAAGAGATGAAAAATCTGTGCTTTTAAACCAAGTTCCATCTAGTTTATCATGGACAGCAGCCCAAAACATTTGGGTGCAAAACTACATAGAAACAGTAACTAAAGCAGATGCGAGGGTAACGTTAACCGATGCATTGAAAGAACGCGCTGGACTAACAACGCAGAAGCACATCCCACTCCTGTTGAGTTTCCTTCTGCTCGTCCTTTCTAAACGCTTGACCCTCTACCCTGGCTTCTGGTCACAGCACTGAACCTCTGACCATTGGTGGGCTGGAGGCTCACCAGAAGTGCCAACTTTGTGAGCTGACAAATGACACCGTCCGCTTTTGGGGACCACCTCTTTGATGCACACGGCGACCACTGCCTTGGAGAACAAGTCCTGCATCCATTACCAAACACTGCTGTCCCTGGCAAATCTGTTCCCCCCACTCCCACCATGGCAGAAATTGTGTTGCCTTTCCACATTTCAAAACCCCAAATGATTCACTCCTCTCCGTAGCTTCACACACACATGCACACAATGGGTCTGACTCTGTTTGTGACATGTTTAGATCTGCTCCGTATAAACACAAAGCAGTTCCCAAATAAGCTTTTGCAAACCTTACATTAAGGATGCCAACCGTGTTTAAACCTTTTTACAAAACTGCATTCATTAGCAGGGGAGTGCACGACATCTATATGGGTTCAGCCTGATGGCTTGCACATGTCTTAGTGCCTGATTGACCAGCATTGAATAATGATGCCTTGCCATTAAGCACTGATGGTACAATAACAATTGTCATGAAAATTAGCAATCATGGTAACATGTTAACAAAATACGGGATATAAACCAACCAGTGCAGACTCTGGGTGCATAAAGAGTTTTGTGCCCTTAACTTGAAATAATGAAGACTACAAATAAAATACTGCAAAAATTTCTTACAGAAGCTCAACTCTGACACTGATACAAACAAAAAAAAAATACAAATGGCTTGGGGGATCAGTTAGCACACAGTCATTACAACGCAAGGCTTTATTCTTAAAGAAAGCATCTCAAAAAATAGTGCCCTCAAGAACACAGACTGATTGATGACGGAGCACTGTCCAACAGTGCTTCACTGTAATACATGTATTTAAGATTTATCTAGAAGTGATTCCTATCAGTTTACTGGGCAGAAAGGCTTGTTCTCTGTATATAAAACTACATGTTATATGGTTGTTTTGAATACTCAGCTATTGCAATTTTGGGTGCTCTTTTATCTGTGATCCGCAGTTTTGGCTAACATGCAAGAAAATAGGTGCATGTAAATCAGTGGTAAGTGATTTTTAAGTGCCCAATATTCATGTGCAAATCAG